GTTCGTTCCTACTCTTGGGCAGCCTGCTCCTTTCTAAACAGAAACAGAGGAGGTGTACATCAAGACGGGAGGGTAGTGGGGGAGGGAATAGGGGGATAGGAGGGAGGGAAAACTGTGGTGGGGATGTAAAATAGAAACATTTAGTTAAAAAACAAAGAAAAGAAAACAGTAAGTCACATATATCTGTTCAGGTTAAATTTATATTGATCTAGTCCTACAATAAGTTCAACTTCTCAGCAAGTGAGTAGCATGTTACAAAACTAATAGCGAACACAAGGAAGAATATCAAAGAAGGTAACTGTTGTAGGAATGGATGAGTAGATGAATTAACAAGAGTTTTCCTTAGACCTTTTAAGGATAGGTAATTTTTTTTTTAAAAAAAAAGCAAGTCTAACCTCATATAAAAAAGGAGAAATTAATGGCTCATTTAACCAAATCAAAGGAGGGGTCTGAACCCAGAACAGTTGTAACCAAACTTCAAATAGCAGCTGCTTGCTTACTGTGATGTTCTCATTCACCCTAAGCTCTGTCTCATTCTCTCTTGCTCTTGATCCCTCTCACTCTCCTGTTCTCTCTGTCCCTCACCTCCCTCTCTTGACCTCCTACATCAGAGACCAAGAGCCCTTTGCTGATCTTTTGGCCTATCCTGGTTTGACTAAAAATAAACACTTTCTTAACAAGGAGACAGACATGTCCCCGAGATAAATGAAATGAAGGAACAATAAATCAAGTAATATAAACCATAGACATAGTTTATAAACAAACATCAGACCCTTGTCAACATTTTCAAAACAGATAAATGCTGCAAGAACATGGATCTTTTTCCTTTGGAATGGAAGGAAGTTTTTCTATCCTTAGGGCATTCTTTTGGGATTTATAGGGTATATGTAAAAAATACCCACAGAGCCAAAGGGAAGCTTTTAATTCTTTATGTTCTTGGGGTTTTCCACTCTGTTGTTCATCTATATTAACAGTAATAAGTCCCAAATGCCAGAATCTATCCCAATAAAACAAACACTAAGCAGTCTGTCTTTATACTCAGGAAATCCACATATGCTACACTCCTACCTGTATAGGTCGGTACCTTTGGGTAAACTGGGAGCCAAGATTTTTCCTATCGTCTTCTTTTGTAGTACTTATGGGACATTGACCCTTAAGCCTTGGGCTTGCATATCACTAAGCTGCACCTCCAGAAACAGACAAGATACTGTGGATAGATTACTAAACTTCGTTTTCTTTTCCCATTAGAGATAGAATGTCCGCTAAGGAACAACTATTTATCTTCCAGGGTTTTAGGAATTTAGCTTCCTATATGCGTTTCTCATCTGTCTCTTGTGCAGGAGACTTTAGTTTTTACCCATCCAAGTAAGCTCATTCATCTATATATTTGTTCAATGGCCTGTTTCAAATCATATATCTTCCCCCTTTTATAAAACTTAGATTCTTTTCTCAAAAATATATCTTGATTATAGTTTCCCCTCCCTCAACTTCTCCCAGTCCTTCCCCACTTCCCTTCCCTTCCAGATTTACTCCCTTTCTCTTATTAGAAAAGAATAGGTTTCTAGTAGATAACAATCATACATGACAAAATAAAAACTAAGATGAAACAAAAATTATCATTTTCAAGTTGGACACAGCAACTCAATAGGAAGAGGAGTCGCAAGAGCAGGCACAACGGTCAGAGATCTGCTTGTTCTCACACTCAGGAGTGCCGTAAAAATTCTAAAATAACAGCTCTATTACATGCAAAGGACCTGCTGCAAACTTACATAGACTCTGTATTTGCAGCTTTAGTCTCTGTGAGTTCATCTGTGCCTTGTTTAATTTATTCAGATGGCCCTATTCTTCATCCCCTCTGGATCTTACACTACTGTTGCCCCTTCCTCTACAGGGCTCACCTGAGCTCTGAGGGGAGGGCAAATAATATATATTAATAAAACCCTAATGCTGCTTGTTAATTTCAAAATCTCTCATTTTCCCCTTCTTTCCTCCACATTAAACTTTGGTCACATCTCATTTACAAAGCAATTTGAGAGTATATTAAAGGGGTTCAGTGGGTATGACCAGGAATCAAAGCATTTTTCACAGTCTATCGCATATTGAAGCAATGATGATTGGATCCGAGGGATTCCCAACGAGGGCTGGGACATCCGGAACTTCTCTGCAGAGAATAGAACTGCTCTGTCAGGGAACTGATATGGGATTGTCCCATTGGGAGCAGGATATAGCCTTCAAAAGAGGTTCTGCTAGTTTCAGCAGACCAGTTTCCAGAGTTAGACCTGAGGGACAGGGGCTTGCAAGAAGGGTGCTGTAATTTGACAAAGTACTGGGGTGAAACAAAATGGTAGCACGTGGATGGGGTAGATCTTTTGAATTCTGGAGCCCAGGTTAGAGGACCCCAGTAAATGTCAGCAATGAATCTCAGATTGTGTTCTTTTTTTTTATTTCATCTTCCTTATTCAATTCTGTTTTCCATGATTTGCTTAAAAGTTCTGTTTTATTTTGCCAAAAACATTATTGAGAAATGAACTATGAGAACAGGAATAGTATAGGCCTTGGTGAACTCAGATGAGGAATTAATTCTCAGACATGCCATTTTCTAGTCATATATTTCAGGCAAAGTGCCAGGTGCTATTAGTCTCAGAGTTCTTCGCTGTAAAAGATTTAAGTAGGATTTGGGGTGTTTATGGGATATATACAAAGTACTAGACACATTTGTGTGATGTATATTGTATTTCTAATATATGTCAAGTTTTCAAACAAAACTCGCTAAAATTTCCTTATTAATAATATACATATTATTTAAACCTATTTAGGTTGCAATTTCCCCATGCTGTATACAGTTCACAGTATGTTTGTCATTTATAGTTTCTCTTTTATCTAAATCATTTTTTTCATTCATTTAACTGCCACTAATTTTCTAACCATCGCTTAAAGTTGACAAAACAAATGTCAGACTCACCTAATTATTAACGATCTCACAGTCTAACTGCGGGAGAGCTGTTCCTGCCTGGCACCAGCTGCGGCACTCAGGAGAGAGGCCATGCACCTTCCTGGGCAGCATAGTAGAGCTGACCCTGGGGGGAGGGCAGCTAGCCCTAAAGCTGAAAATGTGGGACAGCTGTCCCCACTACTATCTGTCATGCAGTGGTGTGGGTGGGGGAGAGATGTCCCCCCACAGCCCTCACCTACTGCAACAGACAAGAGTGATGACTCGCCTCCTAACCAGCTGCAGCACTTGGGAAAGTGGGCCCTGCACCTTGCCTGGACAGCACAGTAGAGCTGACCCTATTGACTAGGTGCAGGCCCATCTGAGAACATGAGCATGGGAGATCTGGCCTCACCCCTCATCTGCCATATGGTGGTGTGGGTGGGGGAGAGAGGCCCTTGCCCCTCACTGCCTGTGGTAGGTGGGAGAGCTGTCCCTGCCCCTCACCAGCTGAAGCATTCAGGAGAGTGTCCCCTGCACACGCCTGGGCAACACAGTAGAGCTGGCTTTGAAGGTGTAGGAGCAGGAGAGCCATCTCTGAGAATGTGAAAGCAGAATCGGCCCCACCTCTTGCAAGGGGAAAACTAGCTGGGCAATGCTGGAGAGCTTGCCCTAGAGGTGAAGACAGGGGAGAGCTGGTGGGCTGACCAGCCCTGCAACTACCCAGGCCCAGAACCAGGGCTATGTGTTAGCCCACCCCAACATCCACCCCATCTGTGATCTGCTGGAGCACAGGAAGGCCAGCCCTGCAGACCCAAAGCTGCAGGATCTCCATGACCCAGGGCAACTGCAGGATAACCAAGAGGAGTCCCAGTGAGGGCCCAGCACCAATAGTGTAGTAGAAACCAGAGGCCTTGGACCAGATCAATGACTCTCTGCAATGAACACTTGCAAGTAAAGATAATGTGGATAAAAGGGTCTACTGCGTGACTCACTGTGTCATGCTACTGCTTCCTTTTCCCTTCTCTTAAATTTCGTTTTATTTTGGGGAGGCTTTGTAATGGCAGAGGTTGGATACAAAGGGATGGGAAATGAATGGGATCGAGATGTATGATGTGTAAGACTCAAAGAATATAAAAAGGAAGTTAAAAAATTAAAAAAAAATGACCTTACAGAGGAGTGGGTTCTCTGAAACCAGGGTTAAGACCTAGAGAATTCTATCCACCACGTGAAGGCGGTATTGTCAGAGTTCCCAGAAATGTTTTGTACACAAGGCTTAGGTAAGACAGTATGTTTGATAGCACTCAGAAAGAGTTCACGTCACCTTCTATAATGGCCCCTGTCCCCAGTGGAGATTTATTTCTTGTTTAGCATACTTCAAAGAGAAGTTCTCTGAGCACTTTTTTTCCTTCTAAGTTTTTCTCTCATGTATTAGACACATTGCCTGAGAATCTGGTCCCTACCACCATCTACCTTAACAGAGGATTTGTGATTTCCCAAAGCCCCCAAATGCCTTAGCTCAAAGCACTGATACTTTATAGCTGTTATTTGGTATCCCACCTCCTCAGGCCTTTAACTTAAGTCTTTGTTTTTCACACTATTTCATCATCTTCCTCATTGACATATGAATTTCCCCTGATATAAACATGTCTTGCAAAGAACAGACACTGTTTGCTGGGAAAACAGGGCAGTGCACTTTATTAACCTTTAACTGCACATGCATTGTTCACTAAGTCAACCAAGTAAGAGGTGCATATGTTTAGCTTCACAAAACAGACTACAAGAACAATAGAATCTGTCATTTTTTTTAGATCTTTCACGTGTCCAAGGAAAGCTCTGTTGCACTGCTATTTGATCTTCCTCTAGACCTCAAAGCTGAGAATGTTCTCAACACGCTTTTCACAGCAGCAAACTTCTTCTTCTGAAACAAACGTGGGAGCCACAGTTAATGAATGGAGACTCTAAAGCTAATAAACCCTTTAAGACGGAACAAAAAGAAAAAGAACCCAAACTCTCTTCTACTCGAAAATCTGACTGCTGTCTTTAATCAGTGTGAAGAAGCAGCCTCAATTTACTCAGGGCGGGAGAAGCTGCTGGGCTTGTCCGCGGAACCTGAGTCTTCCGGGGCAACAGGAAAGGCCACGGAGGCAAGGGCGGCCTGGGCTCTCTCCTCTTCATCCTTCAAGGCTTCCCTATACAGAGCTGTGAAGGCCGTGGGGCTGCTCCGGACAACCTTGGAGAAAAACTGCAGGACTTTCATCTTGCTGGTTTCAGCACGGGCCCTTGGGCCCCACAGGAACTCATAGCATGGAGGATCACTGTCGGGTACCAGCTGGTATTCCAGGTACTTCTCAGCAACCAATTCTTCAGTGATGAACTTTCTGGGATTCCCACAGATGAAATCATGCTGGTCAGGAAATACGCCAACCGTATTCAGCATGTCCCAGATCTTCTTCTCAGGAGCACGGTTGCCCTCCATGAAGATGGCACCAAGGATGAGCACCAGGAGGCCTAACTTGGGGATGCCCTCCTCGTCATCACCACTCGAGCGCCCATCATAGGTGAGATCAAGAACTTTAAGGAGCTCATAGGAGTGGTTGATAGCATCCACTTCCTTCACTTCTATGCCAAAAACCATTTCCATGCATTCACAGGCATGCTTGAAGATCACTTGATAGTAGTGCTTGTACTCTTTGACAATACTCAGAATTTCTGCCTCAGTGACGGGCTGCTTTGTTGTATACTTGAAACTCAGAAACTTCACCAATTCGGTCACCTTATACTGTAGCTGACTGTTGAGCAAGAACCTGGAGAAGAGGTAGGCCTTTGAGACGCTCTGACGTCTCCCTGCTTGACGAGCAGAACCTTCATTTGGTAGAGTGGCTTGGGCAGGAGCAGAGGAGGAACAGGGAACCTGAGCAGCAGATTCTCCCTCTGAGGTGCCCACCTCCTTAGCTACAGGCACCTCCTCGCTGACCTGACCCTCATTCTCTTCTTGGGCCTCACGGCCTTGCTCATGCCTGTGGGACATTATAATTTGTTTTGCAGGTAAGTGGCAGGAGAAAGTTGATGAAGAGTGGCCTGAGGGTGAGAGAAAAAATGTGAGGGTTTGCTAAGCTGTCAGCAGTGACGAAGGTTTTCTCAGTATTTATCTTAGGTAGTTCTCTTGGGTCTCATGGGCCTGCCTCCTACCAACTCCATTCTACTCTATGGTCTCTGGCTATGACTCAGTACAGTAACTATGTCCTTTGTTCCTGGAACCTCCATATGAGCAATTTAGGAGAGGGGCTCAGGTCCCAGACAACAAGCACAGACTGGGACTAACTGCTATATAGAAGTACACTCTGCCAGGTCCACACAGTTATGGAGTGAATGGGTCCTCTTAATAGCAGTATATGAGACTAGGTTCACCTAGTGAAAGTGTCTTCTTTCCACCCTCCAACTGACTATGGCAAGGCCTGAGACACCTCTCTCTGATAAACTGATTCTAGTCTCTTGACACTACGGGGGCAGGGGGATACTGGCACAACAAATCAATATACCAGAAAGTAGGGTCTCTCAGGGTAAGAACAGCAAATCTCTAAGGGCTCAAGCATTCCCTCCATCTTTGTTCAGGGTCCACATACTGTTTGCTAACAGAACTTGTCTCATTCTTTGGTTGGGCAGATAGAGCCAACTCTGCTCACTTAGAACAGTGCCTTCCCCTAACTAAGACCAATAAGACTAAGGATAGTGACCTCTGCTCACTATCCTTTAGACCTTGGCAGTGGCAGAAGAATCTAGTATGTACTTAAAAGGAGGTCCATTAGTCTTCCCTCAGAGTCCTCCCCTCTGGCAACCTGAATTTCCCCATCTCAGATTCCACCCACGTTAAAAATATCTAAAACAAAATAGTCAACATATAAACAGCCCCACCTTTGTAAAATGGTGGACTGCCTGGAAATGAGAGGGGTCTCATACAGACATGTTTGTCTGGGGCCTTCTTGGGCTAATATTAGAAGAGAAGTTTCCTATTTTTATTTTTTATTGAAATTATTTTCATAGAATATATTATGACCATTGTTTCCCCTCCCTATTTCTTCCTAGATCCTACCTTCTAATCCCAAGCTTTCTTTCTCTCTCTTTTAAGAAAACAAACAGGCAATAAGACAAACAAGGATAAAACAAAATGAACAAAGAGCAAAAAGAAACAAAATGGGAAATAAACTGACACACAGGTGTATGTGCACACACATTCATGGACACACAAGTGTGTGCACACACACTTACCCAGCATGTACACATACGCAGTATGCATGTGTATGCACGCACACTTACAGGCATGTACAAAAGCAAACACACATAAGCAAAACCCATAAAAACTTAAAAATCTGGCTGGGCCAGTAGTGGTATAAGCCTTTAATCTCAGCACTTAGGAGGCAGAGGCAGGCAGATCTCTGCATTTATTTGAGGCCAGCCTGGTCTACAGAGTGAGTTTGAGGGCAGCCAAAGTTACACAGAGAAACCTTGCCTTTGAAAAGAAAACCCTCAAAGTTGGAAACCATAAATAATATAGAAACAAAAGACTAGTGGGGGGAGGGGCGGAACAGGGGGTGGGGGTGGGGAGAAAAGGGAAATGGGGAGGAGCGGGATGGGTTGGAGGAGGGGTCTGGGCAGTCAGTCGGGGCATGCATGGGGGCAGGGGATATGGGTTGGCAGAACAGAGGATGGGGGAGGGGCAGGAAGGGGTCCAAATAAAACATTAGGAGGGAAAAACCTCCACAATACCTCTGAGTTTATTTTGTGTTGGCTATTTACTGCAGGGTGGTGCCATGGGACCCGCCCGTAAGCGTGGTTTGGATATCCAGGAAAATTCCCTTGGAGAAACTAATTTTTCATTTGCAAGAAGCTGTTAATTTAGAAAAAGTACTTGTTGTTGGAGACAGGAGCTCGTGCCTACTTCCCCATCTCACAGTGGGACCCAGTTTGGTTTGGAATTGTATAGGCATTGGAATTGATACGCACCTTCCATGAGACACGGCCATGTAACTCTAGCAGTTTGAGGGCCATGACACAGCAGTTTCTGTGGGCTCATGGCTGGGCGTGTTTCCGTAAGCTATGTTCTGTTTGAAAAAGGTCCCCAAGACTCTACAATATATTCCCGTACCTTGGTGTCCGTCCGGAATTGTCTGGAAGCTTCCCTCTACGGACTAGAGTTAAACTCTGTCAGAGAAATCACCCCTCAGGATTCCAAAATGGAGGACACCACCATAAACCAGATCCGTGTAACAGGCCTTCCCCACCAGCGCCGGCAGTAGAGGCATGGTAAGGAGCAGAGGCCATTCTATTTGTGAGGAAAGGTTTATACACCAATGTACCTAAAACTTTTCGCATATCCTTACCTCCAAAACCACCACAGGGCCTGCAATCCCTCCGGCAGCTGAAGAGCAATGGCTGCGCGTCCTTCGCCTGCCCGTCTTCGCCACTTCTGATAGCCGAAGGGGAAGTGGAAGTCAGTGTACGTCACCTACACTCGTTACCGGAAGCTGTAAAACAAAGACCTCTTACCTCACATCCATTTTCACTAGGGGTAGGATGGGCTATAGAACAAGCTAAAGGCGCAGGAAAGGTTTTAGGAAACAGAACTAGAACTTGTGATAGCAATAAGTTCATACAAAGGAAAATACTGGGAGCAAAGCATGGAAGCCTGCCAGTGGCAAAGAGGCAAAGTGCAGCAAGTCCTTCAACATAAAATGTGAAAGCATTAAAGGAACCACATTATTTTGTATCTTAATTTTTTTTATGAAATAGCACTTTTATAAATCAAAACTTTTTTTTTTTTTTTTGGTTTTTCGAGACAGGGTTTCTCTGTAGCTTTGGTGCCTGTCCCTGGCAGAGGCAGGCGGATCTCTGGGAGTTCGAGGCCAGCCTGGTCTACAAGAGCTAGTTCCAGGACAGGCACCAAAACTCTTTTTTTTTTTTTTTTTTGGTTTTTCGAGACAGGGTTTCTCTGTGGTTTTGGTTCCTGTCCTGGAACTAGCTCTTGTAGACCAGGCTGGTCTCGAACTCACAGAGATCCGCCTGCCTCTGCCTCCCGAGTGCTGGGATTAAAGGCGTGCGCCACCACCGCCAGGCTACTAAAACTGGTTTTATCCCAGGCTTTTTCAGACCTAGGCCAGCTGGCCTTGGTGAGTTCCCGATAGAACATCCCCATTGTCTCAGTGTGTGGGTGCACCCCTCAGGGTCCTGAGTTCCTTGCTCGTGCTCTCTCTCTCCTTCTGCTCCTGATTTTGAACATAGCGGACAATGAGGACTACTGAGAACTCAAGAACAATGGCAATGTGTTTTTGATCCTAATGCACGTACTGGCTTTGTGGGAGCCTAGGCAGTTTGGATGCTCACCTTACTAGACCTGGATGGAGGTGGATGGTCCTTGGACTTCCCACAAGGCAGGGAACCCTGATAGCTCTTTGGGCTGACGAGGGAGGGGGACTTGATTGGGGAAGGGGGAGGGAAATGGGAGGCGGCGGCGGGGAACAGACAGAAATCTTTAATAAATAAATAAATGCAAAAAAATAAATCAAAACTGTTAACTATCTCCTTAGAGCAAGCCTTTAATCCTTCATTAATATGTCATTTTTAATAAACATAGTGACTATTTTTTAAAAATAGGCTTTATTCTTAGTCTGTGTCTACAATTCCCGGCACCTTTTTATCTCTTCCTCTTCCAGAGGCCACAACCCCTCAAACTAATATCTTTACTATACCAATATACAATAGCAATAGCAATATGGGTTGGAGGGGGCAGCCCTTGTTTGACAAATTTATAGGAGATTCAGGAATAGCTATATAGGTTTGGGTGGGATTTTTCTATCATTCAGATTGGAGACTCAAAGCATTTGTATTCTTCTTACTATAGTCTGTATTCCTTGCTTCCACAAGGTCTTCTATTTCCCTGAAACACTTTCCACAAGACTATGGAGTGTGGTGATGGAAATACCTGTCCCAGAAACCCCTGCCCTAACATTCACAGACAAAGAAGGTGATGTTTCTATGTGAGACCCTCTCAAGGGATTCTCTTACCTTGGTTCATGGGCCAGAGTGCCTCTGTACAGACTGAGTCTTATTCTTTGTAATCAGACTCTCACTTCCCTGAGAACAAAAAAAAAAAAAACTCTTATATATCTGGCATCCAGTTACTGATGTCAATGTGAGTCTTTATTCAATATTTTTGTTGGTGACATTCAGAAGAACAGTTGATTGTTGTTTAAAGATATGGTTTGCAATAATGTTGCTATCCTCTTGAAAAATGTGCCTGTATATTCCCTTGGTTTCTATGGAGATAAACTTCTGCAATTAATATCAGTACTGTTCATTTCTTTTTTTTTAAATTTATTTATTTATTAAGGATTTCTGCCTCGTCCCCACAACCGCTTCCCATTTCCCTCCCCCTCCCCCGATCAAGTCCCCCCCACCTCATCTGCTCGAAGAGCAATCAGGTTTCCCTGACCTGTGGGAAGCCCAAGGACTGCCCACCTCTATCGAGGTCTCGTAAGGTGAGCATTCAAACTAGTACTGTTCATTTCTAAAGCAAACTTTTTTCTTGCTTTACAACTAGGTAAGAATTCTGGTACAATACTCAATAGTATTGGTGGAAAGTCCATCTCTTAGCTAGATTCTAAGAGATTCACAAACATAACAATATAGGCTTGATATATCCTGAAGTTAATCTGCCAATAACCACATAATACTACTTTATTTCAGAGGTGTACATGAGGTGGTATTCTCTCTCTCACGCTCTCTCTCATTCTCTCTCTCTCTCTCTCTCTCTCTCTCTCTCTCTCTCTCTGTGTGTGTGTGTGTGTGTGTGTATTAATTAAACTCATTAAACTCAATATTTCTTTAGATAAAGATTAGTATTATTTAATATTTTATGGCACTGGGAATTGAATTTAGGGCCTCATAGTTACAAAGTAAGCACTATACCACTGAGCTACCAAGTTATAGCCTCAGCACTAAATGTTTTATTGCATTTATTTATTTATTTATATT